GTGCAACAACAACAGCTGTTCTTCACAGACAGTGGCGTCCACATTTAAACAGGATCCAGTTTAAGGAGTTTATTTCCACAGTTCAGGAAGTTCACTGGTTCTTGGTTGTCTTTGTTCTCCTGGTTTGGAGGAAAGGGCTTGCATACAGATGGGTGGGGTTATATAACCTCTGGGTGTGGTCAATGGGGTGACAGGTGATTTGCAGGCAGGTATTTGCAGGTGTTAGACTTGTGATTTAACATGAGTTAGAATGAAGTCAAGTACATTACTGTCCAAGTTGACATAATTCCTAAGTGTTCTACACTTTCTGTGAAGTACAACTGTTGTATTAAAAGAAAATAAGACTTACCCAAATAAAATATTTATTTACTTTACTTACTTTATTGCTGTCACTTTTATGTGAAGACAATATAAAAATATATTAAATATTCTAGAAAAATATGACATCAAGTCAGATTAAGATCAATGTATAATTGCTTCAAGATGGATGAAGCTGTATTTGTGATTCTCCTCTCAGTGTAATCATCACAGAATGAGCAGCTAGTCTTAGTTTCACTTTCTCAGATCGTCACACCTCTCATGTCACATCTGATTTGTTCAGAGCGGGTGGGGGGAGGGGTTTGTGAGGGGCTGACCAATAATCAAATCCTTTCTGATCAGTATTTAAAGCCTAGTAACAACAGTTTGGATTCATAAGTCGGGTTCATCTACACAGATCAGACTGAGCTGAGGAAACATGAAACAAAGGTGAGTTTGAACGTTTCTATAATGTGTTTGTGTAAATATGTAAAAATCAGTGTATGTACAGTTTTAACAACAGACACGTTTAATTGATCTTGACTTCAGATTTGTTCTTTTTTCATGAGTTGAACTCACAGCTGAAATCTGGCATGCTCACATTTTCGTACTATATTCATCCCTACTTGTTTAAATCACAGAGACTGTACACGTGATTCATAATCATGCTAATTACAGTATAAGACAAAACACAGATTAAAGTTATACTTCTTGAAGTATGATAGTGTGAACTACGGTCAAGCAGACATCATTCGCGTTTCCGTGGTCAAACCAGTTGTTCCTGGATTTCGAGTGTGTGATTTATCGAACATTTACAGTAGTCACACTGTCATAGTTCCAGGGAGTGGATGGAAATGATTTTTAAATACAATCTCATATGTAAAAAGGCATTAGTAGAACACTTTCATATTAATCATTCCCGGAAATGACCTATAGGAACATCGAATCAAAATCGAGCACTGGAAATACAGGAACGACTGGTTTGACCACAGCAATATGAATGACAGCGGGTTTGACCGCAGGTATGAAGTGGGAGTGTCAAAATGTTTCTACTTTCTGCTCTCTTCTTTTTCTTCTTTCACTTTTGATGTTGAACAGTTTATCTGTGTGATATTTAGTTTTCACAAGGAGGAGTTCTTCAAGGTGTTCACCAAAATATTTTATGTTAGATGTTGTACTTTATATTCTCCTGATCAAATCATTTTCTGAAATGGTTTGAACATAACATGCATTTTTCAGTGATAGTTAATTATCACTTTTGTCTGAATGGCTCTGTCTTATGAACATAAAGATGAGCATCTGATGAGATGGAGGTGGAGAACCATGATAACACAGCAGCAGCAGGAGGAGGAGGAGGAGAGTCTGAAATCAAATCTGTAATATCATCTGTGACAAATGATAAAAGTAAGTTCAAAATTTGACGATATAAAAATTAATAAATTTAGTATTGTTGAGAAAACTACATATTGTTTTTATGCTGAGCCTGTTCAATCTGTTTTTTCTTACACGACCTGTCAGTAGATGAGCTGGAGGAAAGTTCAGCTAAAACCAAGGTAAAGATCAGTCACCATCATACAGTAAGTCATTTCAGCATTTACCACAAGAGAATCCCTCCCTAAATCTAAAATAATAAAACTTTTCATAACACACACAGTGTCCACACTGTCCAAACATCAGACCTTTGAAATTGTTTTATTCTGACAAAACTAATAAAGAAAGCTTTTTATTATATTGACATCCCACCTGCAGACATGCACACCTTCACATTAATGTGATGACAGTTTAACACGCTGGTCTCACGTCTGAATAACCACCTTGGTCGCTTTAATGTGAAAGTCACAACAGGAATCTTACTGGGTCAGACCTGCTAAAATTTCAGTGGCTGCAGAATGATGCACTTTTCTTAGTTTTGGTTTCCTGATGAAAACATTTTAATCTCAGTGGCTCTAACCTGGAGAACTAATCCTGACATGAAATCAATTATTTTATTTATTAGTCTGATTCATTGACTGAACCTGGTGGAGCTGAACATCCAGAGCAGAACGATACCACCAAAGACATGGACCACAAATCCCACGAAGAAGAAAAGACGGATTCCTCAGTGTTTCATCAAAGTCAAACAGGTGAGATCTTAATATTGTTGATCACATAGGGCCCTGTAATGCCCTGTTCAGACCTGGTATTAACATCCATCTCAGCTGATCCGATCACCAGTGGACAGCTCTTAGTTAAGGTGTGAACTCACCCAAGAGGATGCATTTGGCCTCGATCACTCAGACCACAGTCAGAGGTATTCACATTCTTTCAGCAATGTCAACACAAATGTGTAATTTCCTTGATTTTTGTATTGCATATCTGGAAAATTCAAATTCAAACAATATTATCTCTATTTGATGTTGAGGACATATGTCTTGTTGAATAATAAACATTGTAAATATACTGTACATATTATTTTAACATAATTTTTTACAAATAGATTTTATTTAACCTGAGTTAACTGACCAGAAACTATTTCTCTTAAATGTGATTCTGCAATCTGCTTGTTGTTACATTGACCTGTGGTAGATCAGCCAGAGAAGACAGCAGCTACAGGAGATCAGCTGGAGGAGAGAGCAGCTACAGGAGATCAGCTGGAGGAGAGAGCAGCTACAGTTGATCAGCCGGAGGAGAGAGCAGCTACAGTAGATCATCTGAAGGAGAGAGCAGCTACAGTAGATCAGCTGGAGGAGAGAGCAGCTACAGTAGATCACCTGGAGAAGAGAGCAGCTACAGTAGATCATCTGAAGGAGAGAGCAGCTACAGTAGATCAGCCGGACAAGAGAGCAGCTACAGTAAATCAGCTGGAGGAGAGAGCAGCTACAGTAGATCAGCTGGAGGAGAGAGCAGCTACAGTAGATCAGCCGGAGGAGAGAGCAGATACAGTAGATCAGCTGGAGAAGAGAGCAGCTACAGTAGATCAGCTGGAGGAGAGAGCAGCTACAGTAGATCAGATGGAGGAGAGAGCAGCTACAGTAGATCAGCCGGAGGAAAGAGCAGATACAGTAGATCAGCTGGAGGAGAGAGCAGCTACAGTAGATCAGCTGGAGGAGAGAGCAGATACAGTAGATCAGCCGGAGGAGAGAGCAGCTACAGTAGATCAGCTGGAGGAGAGAGCAGCTACAGTAGATCAGCCAGAGGAGAGAGCAGCTACAGTAGATCAGCCGGACAAGAGAGCAGCTACAGTAAATCAGATGGAGGAGAGAGCAGCTACAGTAGATCAGCCGGAGGAGAGAGCAGCTACAGTAGATCAGCCGGAGGAGAGAGCAGCTACAGTAGATCAGCTGGAGGAGAGAGCAGCTACAGTCGATCAGATGGAGGAGAGAGCAGCTACAGTAGATCAGCTGGAGGAGAGAGCAGCTACAGTAGATCAGCCGGACAAGAGAGCAGCTACAGTAGATCAGATGGAGGAGAGAGCAGCTACAGTAGATCAGCCAGACGAGAGAGCAGCTACAGTTGATCAGCCAAAGGAGAGAGCAGCTACAGTCGATCAGCCAGACGAGAGAGCAGCTACAGTACATCAGCCGGAGGAGAGAGCAGCTACAGTAGATCAGCTGAAAGAGATAGCAGCTACAGTCGATCAGCCAGACGAGAGAGCAGCTACAGTAGATCAGCCGGAGGAGAGAGCAGCTACAGTAGATCAGCCGGAGGAGAGAGCAGCTACAGTAGATCAGATGGAGGAGAGAGCAGCTACAGTAGATCAGCCAGACAAAAGAGCAGCTACAGTACATCAGCCAGACGAGAGAGCAGCTACAGTTGATCAGCTGGAGGAGAGAGCAGCTACAGTAGATCAGCTGGAGGAGAGAGCAGCTACAGTTGATCAGCCAGACGAGAGAGCAGATACAGTAGATCAGATGGAGGAGAGAGCAGCTACAGTAGATCAGCTGGAGGAGAGAGCAGCTACAGTTGATCAGCCAGACGAGAGAGCAGCTACAGTAGATCAGCGGGACGAGAGAGCAGCTACTGTAGATCAGCCAGACAAAAGAGCAGCTAAAGTAGATGAGCTGGAGGAGAGAGCAGCTACAGCTGATCAGCTGGAGGAGAGAGCAGCTATAGTAGATCAGCCGAAGGAGAGAGCAGCTACAGTAGATCAGCCGGAGGAGAGAGCAGCTACAGTAGATCAGCCGGAGGAGAGAGCAGATACAGTAGATCAGATGGAGGAGAGAGCAGCTACAGTAGATCAGCCAGACGAGAGAGCAGCTACAGTTGATCAGCTGGAGGAGAGAGCAGCTACGACACAGGTAAAGGTGAGAATATTTGGTCCTCTGTAGTCACTGTCATACAGCAACATTTCTTTTTCAATGCTTCTTATTTCTTATGACGTCGGGTTAAAGTCTAGCACGAACACCTGTACCCTGAACTAAAGACTGGAGCTCTTGCCTTTTTACTTTAGACTTGGACAATGTTTGACTCCACAAAGCTCCTGGTTTGACACTGGATGAGTGAAGCTGAAGACACTTTTACTGAAGAGTTTACTTTCTTGTCCCTCAAATACAAACCTACTTTACAGCATTTAGTTTCAGCACATTGGTTCCCTTTCAATTTTGGTTCCTTGTACTCAGAATATTGTACCTCTGTGTTCTTAATCTCAATGGTTGTAACCTATTTATTTTTAAAATGAAATTAAATGACCTGTTTTCTCAGTGTGACCCAGTTAATGATGGAAAACACTCAAAGAAGAAGAATGACTACACAGCGAAAGGAAGAGAGTCTGAAATCAAGTCTGTTCCATCTGCAACATGTGAGAAAATAATTTATTAATAAAAAATATTGTCTTACAATAATAGTCAAAATTAGAACTAATTACTAACTAACTAATCATTTACAGTGAACATTAGAAAACTGTATTGATTCAACTCTGGTTCATTGTTGTCTTGCAGGCACCTCAGATGTGGATATGAGTGGAAACAAGGATAAGGTCAGAAAATACAAATTTATTTCACAATAACTTGAGGACTTTTTACTCTATAACCATTTCTTAAAATACAATACATTTTTTCTATTCATACTTTCCAGCAATCAGTGGAGATTTCTGAAGAGAAGAACAGAAACATGGAGTATCAAAAAGATCTTGAAACGTTGGTTCACAGACTTCACCTTCAAGACAAAGAGAATTTGTCTCCAGCAGATTTTCTTAAAATAGGTCCACCAGTGAAACAGGACCATGAAACATCTGAGGAAGATCTAGCTCATACTTTTCTTCAGAGGTTGATGATGTTAGACTACAGAGCCAGATATATTTCTGTAATACAAGATAGTGCTGAGGTGAGCCACTCAACATCTGTTCCAGAGTCTGAAACTGTTGACACAGAAGACAGTGACTTAGATGCTCTTTTTAGCAACAACAATGACTGTGATCAATCAGATCAGACTCATGTTCATCCGATGGACGTTCAAATAGCAGTATTTCACTGCTCAGACAGCTTCCTTAAGCAGAACATGATGACAAAGCTGTCACAGTGTCAGTACGCCTTACCTTTGCTTGTTCCTAACCCAGTCACACTGGATGTTGAGTGTCCTCTGTGGACATTCAGACAAATAAGAAAAACCTGGAAGACAACTCAAGTCAAGGATGATTCAAACATTGTCACCATGAAGAGTATGCCCATCTGCAAAGCTGAGACACCCATGGTGTCATTTTTCCGCCTGGGTTCACTGTCAGTGTCTAAATCTCAGCTGATGAACACTTTGATCAACGAGCGTCACAACACCTTCTTCCACAGAAACTGCCCAGGTAGCACCAGATCTCGCCTTTTGATGGATGGTGTGGCAGAGATTGCCTGGTACTGTCCAGCTGGAAAACCCAACGATGCCTTCACTGACTGCACTGCCTTCTGTAATCTTCATGGTGATGCTCTGTCGATTGAAAAACAGCGTAAGATACTGACTGAAAAATCTTCAGTCAATGTTGTTCTGTTACCAACTCTGAAAAAAGGTGACAAAAGTACTGAAGTTATCTCAGATCTTCTGAAGTCTCCAAAGCCTCTGATTTGTCTCATTACTGATAATGATCGTGGTGCAGTTCAGATGAAAAAGGGAAAATATAAAATGGGTCTAAAAGACAGAAGCCAGTCAGATGTTTCTGAAGAACTGAAAAGGATCATTAGAAAGATCTTGTCTGGATCACAAACATCCTTCCAGCTTGAAACCATGGCCGAGGTCTCTGGGATCAGAGTGGATGAAGAAGACACAGTCTGCCAAAAAGGGAAATCTGCTGCTATGAAAACAGTGAATTTACTTCAGGGGATGAAAGTTTCAGAAATCAAAGATAAATTCCTCCCTTGTCATGGCCGACTGTGGCATGAGTGGTGCAGAATAAAGAAAGAACTGTATCACCTCAAAGGAAACGTTGAGAAGGACAAAAGTGAAAAGCAACAGGAACTGATGAAAATACGAAAAGAACAATGTGATGCTTCCTGTAGTGAACTGGTGAAGTTGTTCATTGAAAGTCTCTCATCTTTGCCATCAACAGACAAAGAGTATTTCCTGAAATGGACTCAGATCTTAATAGACGCCCTCTCCACAGACGATCTCACGTCAATTCTCCAAAGCTATGATAAGAAGTGGTCTGAGGTCTTGGCTCTGAAGAAGAAACGTGACAAACCTGATCTGCTAAAAAGAAAACAGACTGAGCTTGAACAAATATCAACAAAACTGCAGTCAGCAACTTTTGGCTTGGAGCACATCTTTAGAGAAATGGGGCAGATCTATGAAGCCCATAAATCTCTGCAGAAACAAACAAAGAGGAGTCAGACTGACTGGTCTAAATACCCTGAGCTGGCTGCAGAGCTGATGATATCAGGATACCCCATGGAGCTGATGGATGGTGATGCAGGTCATGTGCCTTTGACATGGATCTCTAGTCTTTTAGAGGAAGTCATCAAGAGACTGGGTGACCAGAGAGTGTTTGTGTTGTCAGTTTTGGGCTTACAAAGCAGTGGAAAATCAACAATGCTGAATGCCATGTTTGGGTTACAGTTTGCAGTGAGTGCTGGCAGATGCACCAAGGGTGCCTTCATGCAGCTGATCAAAGTGTCAGAGGAGATGAAGAGAGACTTTAAGTTTGACTATGTGCTGGTGGTGGACACTGAAGGACTGCGTGCTCTTGAATTAGCAGGTAACGCCGCTCTTAACCACGACAATGAACTGGCAACTTTTGTTGTTGGTCTGGGAAACATGACATTGATCAACATCTTTGGAGAGAATCCAGCTGAGATGCAAGATGTTCTGCAGATTGTTGTTCAGGCTTTCATGAGGATGAAGAAAGTCAAACTTTCTCCAAGTTGTGTGTTTGTTCACCAGAATGTGACAGATATTTCAGCTGCAGAGAAAAACATGGAGGGAAAGAGACGCCTGCAAGAAAAACTGGACCAGATGACCCAACTAGCTGCCAAAGAGGAGGTTTGTAATGCAAAGTGTTTCAGTGACATCATTGCATTTGATGTGCAAAAAGATGTGAAATATTTTGCCCAGCTTTGGGAGGGAAGTCCACCTATGGCTACTCCAAATCCAAGTTATAGTGAGAGCGTCCAAGAGCTGAAGAACTTCATCCTCTCTAAAGCTTCACTGTCTGCTGGGATTACTCTGTCACAGTTCAAAAGCAAAATTCACGACCTGTGGAATGCCCTGTTGAACGAAAACTTTGTTTTCAGTTTCGAAAACACACTTGAAATTAAAGTGCACAGAAAACTTCAGGTTCAGTACGGAAACTGGACCTGGGCCTTGAGGAGCAACAAGTTGACCATTGAAAACCAGCTGTACAACACAATTGAAAATGGAAAACTTGACAAGGTTGAGCTCAGTTATCTTTTTAAAGAAATGAGCCGAACATATGGAGAAATCCAAAAAGAAATTACATCTTACTTTGATGATGACAGAGACAAAGAAATGTTGGTTCAGTGGCGAGGCACATTTGAAAGCAAAATCAAGGAGTTTCATGAAGAACAGGTGAGAGGAGTGAAAAGAAAACTGGATGAAGTTATCCAGCAGAAGAAGGCTTGTAAAAAGCCTGATGATCAGAAGACAGAGTTTGAGAACAAGCTGCTACAGAAGAGCAAAGAGCTCGCTCATCAGTTAAAACACAAGACACAAGATGAAGAGGAACTTAAACAGCAGTTTGACTCTGTTTGGAGAGACTGGGTGAGAGAACTAACTACAGATACAAAACCTATTGAAGACATCAACTTGGAGGAAGATCAGTCAACTATCCTTCATGAGCTTGGTTTTGAATGGGATCTTATTGATGAATCCAAAACCAGTGGCAGATACAAAAACATATCAGAGGCTGGTGATTACTCTCATTATGTGACACTCGCCAAGTATCATGACCACACTGAACGGTTTATTAACTTTCATTCAGAAAAGATCAGATCCCTGATTGATAATCTTGAAAAACAGTCACTTGATACAATCAAGAACAAACCTGTAGCTACAACAGGCTACAGTTCAACTTACTTGCGAGAAGTTGCTAAAAATGTCAAAGAGAAAGTGACAGAATTTGAATCAGAGAGGAAATTTGCTCTGAAGAAGAAGTTTACAGTTGATCTCTTACTGTATGTGTTTGACATAGCAGGAACTTGGCTTTCAGAGTCCCACAAGAAATTCAAGAAGAAGAATGATGCACGTACTCATTTAGAAAGCAAAAGGGATCAGTATTACAACATTTTCAGAAGCTTCTGTAAAGGAAACTCTTCTGCTGTTGTACTTGGAGAACTGATCTGTGAAAAACTGAAGGTTTCCACTGTTGAGGCTGTCTGTAAAAAGACTGCCATTGATCTAGCTGGAGAGATGAGGAGCAGTTTCCCAGCATTCAATGGGAACAGACTGAACCTGGAGAAACATGTGTTGAAGTCGTTGGCAGAGAAAGAGGACTTCAGTGGTTTCATCACCTACATCCATCAACCAAGGAAACATGTGGAGAAGTTTATTAAAGAGGAAGTAGAGAAATATATCTTCATATCACACAAAGATAAAGCTCGGGATATACTCAAGAAAAATGTTGAAAACATGAAACAACATGTGAGGCAGGCTTTATTTACTGCAACAGATAAAGTCAAAACCCAGACAGGAGACACAGACATGTGGCTGGAGGAATTTACCAGTTCTCTAAAAGATCAGTTGACATTTGATGCCGTTTGTCCTGAAAACTTCCGAGACATAAACCATTTTGAGTTCCTTAAAGAAGAGATAGAGAAAAGCCTTGAACCCATCATGAAGGAGATGAACAACCTCTCACTGAATAAGATGAATGAGTTCAGACTGAAGCCTGATCAAATCCTCGTTGATCAGCTGTGCAAGTGCTGCTGGGTAACGTGTCCATTCTGTGCAGCTGTTTGCACCAACACCATGGAAGATCACAGTCCTGAAAAGCACTGCGTCCCTTTCCATCGCCCCGCTGGGATTAAAGGATGGCACTATAGAGACACAGTGGAACTGGTCATCGATTTCTGCACAACAAATGTTGCAAGTGATGAAAGGTTTAACCCCTGTCACGACTCAAATAAAAGCATTCCTTTTAAACAGTACCCAAATGGTGGGGATAAGTATGCTTCATGGAAAATCACTCCTGATGAGTCTAAACTGACATACTGGAAATGGTTTGTGTGTCAATTTCAAAAACAACTGGAAGCACAATATAAATTAAAATTCCAGGGCAGAGGAGAAATTCCCAGAAACTGGAGAAAACACAGTAAAGAAGAAGCGATTAAAAGTCTGGATGAAATGTACAAACTGTGAAAAAATACTTGTAATAAATCTACTTCTTACAACAAAGAATGGAGGGTTTACTTCTTTAACCTGTGTAATTCATTTCTAACTTATATCTGAAAATCTCATTAAACAAGTTTTGCCTGTTTGTATTTTTTTATTTCTTTACATTTTAAGTTGAATCATGTTAACTGATCCAGGATGCTTTATGCTTTAAGACATATTTGAAGTGTTCAGTTGTGTTATGTTAATCTCGTTTAAAATAATCTGTCATTATATCTACAGCAGCATGAGTTTTGTTGTTTTGTTGTCAATGTGAGGAAAATATTTCTAAAAGATTTTATCATTTATTAAACTGATCATTCAGTGACGACACAAAAACAATCACCTTATGTCTATTTGACTTTGTCTCGACCTGATAAGAAAATCACACATGGCTCTTAAACCAGGTTTCACAGGGAATCTCAGTCAACTGTGTCCCTTTTGGTATGTGATCAGTTGCTTTAAAGGAGAACTACCACAATTCAGTATTGCACCACTGTTAAGTTTGGGGACTCACAAGAGAAAGACTTTTAAAAAGAGATGGTCAAAAGCAGCAGAGGCCAAGATGTCCTGACTTTTTGTCTCTAGTCTGCATCAAGCTCTAAAACCACTGTATCCTACATTTCCCATACTGCAACTCAAGTGTCTGTCATTAAACCACATCTTGCCTTGTAAGATGCCCACTTCTTTCAAACCCCACACCTCAAGCTGGACATGTCGGTTAAATGTAGAGTACTATAAGTTTGGATGAATGGGGTTTAAATATCTTTAGCATAGTTAGAAAAGCTAAAAACTACCATTGGTCGCCACTATCTGACAACATTAAACTTGCCTGTCATAACGGTTCACCAAAGTGCATTTTACTATACACAATATTATTTTATGACTGTTCTGTTACTTCACTTCCGATAACGTTAAGTTGGGTCTTTATTATTCAAAAGTACTCACCGAAAAGTGTTGTACCGTCTACATTTACAGTAGCTTGACAAATGTAATCCGTTGCAGTTCCTCATTGTGGCCACTGGATGGCGGTAAAACTCATGTACATATACGTTGAAAACATTACATGGGCTTTGTATTGGTTAAAACAAACGATGCATCAGTAAAAAACCTCCGGTATGAATTTATTCATTGTCTCCATTGGATAAAGAAAGGTTAGTGTTTCTGACTGCTGGCTGTGACCACAAAATAAAAATGACATTAGCCATCCACAACAACTTCCGGTATGTAACCGGAAGTGTTCTAATAAAGTAAACAACGAGCTGCCGGTGGATACAGACATTCAGATAGCTGCGACTAAAGGGAGCTTTTTTCATTTTAAAAGGATATTTTGCTTTTCATGCAGACGAAGGGGCATTTGTGTGAGAAACTGGTGCGACCTCTAATAAAGATAAATCGGGGTGTTTACGTTTCTGAACCTGCCAGTAAAGTGGAACCTGCCGTAGCCTACAGTAGCTAGCAGCTAAGTAGCAAGCGTCAGCCAGTAATATTCTTGCTTTTAGCTCCTGTCGAGTTATTTTCTCAAACTTTAGATACATGTATTTCCCTACAGAGACATAATACAACTGTTTTTGCACAGGTAGAATATTCCTTGTGACAAATAAACTTAACCTCATGTGTAAAACTGTTGTAATGCCCCTTTTATTGGATTGTTGCTCTCTGTATGAAACCATATCTGAAGTTTGTGTCATTATTTGTGAGAAAATATATTTCAAAGACAGGATCTGGTTACAGTTTATTACACTGACCCTCAGAGACAACAAAACAAGACCACATACTGAATATACCATATACTGAAGAGCTACATCTCTTAATGATTAATATTTCGTACAGTATCTAAACTGATGACCACAGTCTGCATGTGTTACAGCAGCTGTATCTTTTAGCAGATTTTGAAGGAAGTCAGTTTGAAGTCCCCTGTGACTCTGATGTAGCTGATGACGTCCATGCCAACACGGTTAGGGAACTGGACTTCCTGTCCATCAGGAAGCTCCACCTCAAACACGTCTCCTGCTAGCTTCAGTACAATCTAAAACAGAAATGTATTTTTTAATAGAAACACTCTGAAACATATGAAACTAAAACTATCCACCTGGCAGGGTAAGTGAACAAATATATTTTTTCTTCAAGCCATAAGCTTTTCAACAATTTCCTCACCAAACATTTTTACAGCACTTTTCATGAAGTAAATGCATCTTCTCTTCCTTCAGTTCTACTCACCTTGACGTCTGCGCCTCTTTGTAAGGGGTTGTGTATTTCCCGTTTCTCGTCACCCCAACAACCATCAGTCTTTGAGTTGCACACAAGCACAGCTCCATCTGTGTCATCATGGAAACGAGGGTTAAAGTGCAGCGCCAGGTCGTCTGCATCACAGCCGAGGTCGATCTGGAATCTGAGTTCATACAAGAAATGTGGTGTAAACACCCAGGTGTTTGCAGAGCTCAGAACACCACACAGGCATGTAACACTGGGCAAGTAATCTACAGACTATTGATAAAAGTGCATGTTTACAGATTATTTATTTTTTACTACAGCGAAAAACCCGAATGTATCTGCGTAGATATTATCGTATTATTTTATTCAGTGAAGAGGGTAATATTAAACAAGTAAAATGTGTTTGGTGAGCTTACCTCTCAGCATCGTGCAGAATTACTCCCTTTAGTTTCAGCTGATCTCCAGCTCGCAGATCTACATTCTTCAGTTCAAGTTGCTGAGAAACACACTTGTGTAGTTCAGGGTTTCAAACAATTTCATGAGCAGATGAAAGATTATTGGTAGTCATTATGGTAGCAGATCTGGAACAATCAAATATTGATATTTATCAGCTGTTTTATTCAACAAATAACAAATTCCATGGTGCAGAACAGTGAAATAAAAGCAGCAGCAGATTTAAACTTACCAGGCTCATTTTTGGTGAAGAGTCCTTGAGCTAATGGAAGATGTAGGATTATGGTGTTGGTACAGAGACACAGTCTTCTGTCCTGGAAGACAAAATGTAAGTGGTGTGGTTGTAAAGTCTTTATTTATAATATAAAGTACAAAAGGCACAGTGAAATGACTTTTAACAGTTACAATGGGGCCCCAGTCATCATTATCATCACAATGAAGCAGCCTATTCAATGTAGATGCCCTGCTCTGTTTAATCATTGCTGTTGAACTCATTTTGCAAATGAGATGAATTGTCTCCTTGGTCATTGAGCAAGAGTAACAGCTGCTGCAGTGCCACTGTAAGGTGATGATTTAGATTGAGAGCCACTGCGTACATTGAGGAGTCTTAAATTTACACTGGAGAGAAACAACTACCAGAGTATACTGTGCCTGTAGTATTCAACCAGTCTGATATTTACAGGGTTGATTTTTGAGCTTGAAAAAAAAAAAAGAAAAGATATAAACGGTTATTATTTGTTTTTAGACTATTGGTCTTCATCACAATCACACTAGATGTCTCTTGAATAATGATTTTATTTATTCATCTATTTATTTATTTATTTATTTTTAAAGAATTTGACACTGTGCTCTTCTGTCTTCTCAATCTGACCTGAACTTGATTTTTATTTAATGAATCTGAAAGCTAATTCTTCATGTCTTTATCTGCCATCATTTACAATTTATCCATTAATTACAGTGTCTGTTTGCTCAATGTCATCACAGTAACTGCCTGATATAAAAGGAGAGACCTTGCAACAACATTTTTAGAGGACCTAATTTATTCTTTGCTATTTATACAATAAAAAAATAAGGCTCTGTTCAGTTTACCTTTTCTGTTCATCAGGAAATGATCAACTAAGAATAACTGTGTGGAGACTGATGGACCATACTGAGATAGTTGGATGTTGTTATTTGTTAACAGTCACATTTAAGGACTACAACATCTGTCATCAAAACTTAAATTATTCTAAAAATATATTTAATTTTTTTTAAATTTTAAACACCAGGTTTGTAAGTAAGAATGAAACGGATATTATTATTATTACTGAATAGCTGCACTGATACTGCTGTCTTCAACGTTTTACTGCCCTCTGGTGGTAAGAGTGTGGAACTGCAACAAATAGAATTAGTCAAATCCGTCAGCGCAGGCACAAGAGCACACACTTCCGGTAAAGTAAAGTTAGGGGAAAGAAACTGAAATAAGTATGGAGGTAATAACATTAATCACCATGGAATAATGGCGTTAATTATAAATACAGACCTCCGTCAACCGCTACAGTTCGAGGTGTCAAAGTAAGAGTTACTTGGCGCTGCTATAGTTCTTGCAGCTTTATCGTGGTGATGCCGATTAGCATGCTAAGTGGGCTAATGGGCATCTTTCATCAGTCTCCCAAGATTACCAAAAAGGGCTTTTGGCTCCCTCCATTGTCACTTGAATCCCGCCTTGTCCGTCCTATATCCGTAATAGATGAAGGGAGATTCTGTTGGATTGTGGCTTCAGTTTGGTCACTTTATTTTGAGAGTACGAACCGGAAGTATTAGTATGTGGTCATATCTACAATTACGGCAACTTTACTATCAGATTAAATATGTTGCAATTCCAACTAATAACCACTGGAGGGCGGCAAACATTGATGATTCTAATGACTGACTTCATGCAAGGTGGATATGTCGGTTAAATGTAGTATATCATACGTTTGTGTCGATGTGAATGGGGTGTAAATAACTTTAGCATCGTTAGAAGAGGCTACCGAAAATTAGCATTGGTACATTATAGTATATTCATAAGGGCTTTTGTTCAGTATAACTTTCTTTTTTGTACACTTCCCTTTACCTCAAAGTTCAGTTCAGTTTCAGTGTTTCCTCTCAACTCAAACTTATCATGGAAATAAAAATCTACTATATGCAACCAAGGAAATACATTAATGAAAAAAAACTTGAATAAAGAAAATACTCAGTCCTATTTTTAATAGTAATAGGTGTAAAAAAAAAAAAAAAAAAGTAAGTTATATCTCTATTAAACCCAAATTGCTCAGTTATAGTTGTTATAATCTTTGTCTCTTTGATTTTTGAACATTCCTTGT